TTCTGGCCCCAAACCCGGGAGGGAAGAGCTCACATTGGAATCAATAGGAGCCACCCTTTCCTCACCAGCATTGGCTTTGGGAAAGAAACTGGGGGGGGTATTCATCTCATTCTAGACCCAATTTACTTTTTTGTTTGTTTGTTTCATGGGTGTGGAGAAAAGGATTTACAAATCAAGAATTAACACAAGACCTTCCCTACTGTTGGGTTGTGTGAGGGACCATGTAAGGGGGTTGCCTTTAAAAGTAAACCTTTCTGCCAAGCTGCTCCTTCCCCCCTGCTAAAAGGTAGACTTTAAATACATGAAAGATCTACACAGGCTTCCAAGGAAAATACAGCTATTACAGCAGCAGGTATTTTGTGAAGTGAAAGATTCAGAAGTGATCCAGTGAAAGGGATCAGGTGAAATACGAAGAAAGAAATCAGTCTTCAGCAGGCAGAGAGTACTGATCTCGCTGCTCACAGAATGCATATAACCAGAGGTTTATTTAATGTGATAATGCACAGGATCACGTCCAGGTGGGTTTTGAGTATCTCCAGAGAAGGAGACTCCCAACCCCCCTGGGCAGCCTGTTCCAGTGCTCTGCCACCCTCAAAGTAAAGAAGTACTTCCTCATATTCAGATGGAACTTCCTGTGTTTCCATTTGTGCCTGTTGCCCCTTTTTCTGTCGCTGGGCACCACTGAAAAGAGTCTGGCCCCATCCTCCTGACACCTGCCCTTAAAACATTTGTAAGCATTGACTAGATGCCCCCCCAGTCTCCTCTCCAGGCTGAACAGACCTGGCTCTCAGCCTTTCCTCAACAGAGAGATGCTCCAGTCCCCTCATCATCTCTGTAGCCCTCTGCTGGACTCTCTCCAGTAGTTCCTTGTCTTTCCTGAACAGGGGAGCCCAGAACTGGACACAGTACTGCAGATGCGACATCACCAGGGCAAAGCAGAGGGGTAGGATAACCTCCTTTAACCTGTTGGCCACACTCTTCCCAATGCCCCCCAGGGTACCATTGGCTGCCTTGGCTGCAAGGGCACACCGCTGGGCTCGTGGTTAACTTGTTGTCCACCAGGACTCCCAGGTCCTTCTCCTCAGAGCTGCTTCCAGCAGGTCAGTCCCTAACCTGTATTGGTGCATGGGGTTATTCCTCCCTAGGTGCAGGACCCTACACTTGTCTTTGTTGAACTTCATCAGGTTCCTCTCCGCCCAACTCTCTACTCTGTCCAGGTCTCGCTGAATAGCGGCACAGTGTTCTGGTGTATCAGCCAGTATTTCATGTAGATCCCATAATACTGATAGGTTTTTATGTGCTTCCTCACAAACAATAATTGTGTAATCGCAAATATCCACAAGCAAGATGGGTAGAAGGCAATAAGTAGGAAGCAGCGAACGAAGCGAATGTATATTTCAGAACACATGACACTAGCCAAAAAAGTCATCTTCTAAACTGAAATATTACAAAACTAAGAACAGCACAATTGCGTTTTCAAAATCTACATAGCAGCATTGGTAATGTGTTACTTGAAGTCTTTGCTTGAGATTGATAACCTTAATAAAACCAACACACACGCCATACCTTTGTTCAGTTTGCCTTGATGCCTTTCTCCCATACAAAGTACAGCAGTTCAGCAGTAACACGTCTTCATTTTAATATATATGTACCATAAAGAATCACTTCATTGAGTCCAACCAAAGGTATATCCAGTTGTATCCATTGTCTCTGAAAGTGGCCAATGTCAGAGTCCTCAGGAATCAACAGCACCTCTTTCTTTGTGCACAGGGACCTCCTAAGCCAGAACTGTATCTTGATGACTAAGAGATACTCCTTGCGTGATTTGCCTCATACCTTTTTTTAACCTACTAACTCTCCAAGTTAATCTAGATGTTCTGCTGTCCACAACTTTCAGCCATCAGTTGGCCATGGGCAAAAGCAGGCACCAATGTGTGAGCATAAAGCAACCCAGATCTGTCTGTATGAATACACAGATCAGAGGGGAGCAAGAAAAGCTGGAAAAGTCTCTGAGTGCCTTGGACGCTCATGAGACAAAGCAGGCTGGCAACTGGAGACAGAAAGGCTGTCTACAAATTTCTTGGCCACACACAAGGAAATCACAAAACACTTGTGATGCAGGTGCTGAAGAGGACCACAGTTGAAGTCCACTGTAGTATCTAGACTTCGCAGCTGTACACCAATGGCTATCTCCCATAGGAAACCATTCAGTGACAGAGTATCTGGAAGAAAAGAATACACAGATGATGAAGCAGCTGCTAGTGTTTTAAGAGGGGTGATTTACTGCTCTAAACATGCTGAGAATGCTCAGTATATTTATTTCTTATAATTAAACTCTTGCATGTTTTACTGCAGGGCCACCATTGCCAGGCTACCTCCTCTAGCACTCCTACCATATTTGTGCTAAAGCAGTAGACTGCTGCAGCAAAGTGTATAGTTCTTTGAATGTGAGATTTTTACGCTGATGATAGCAAATAAAGCAATGTGCAATTTTGTCTGTAATTGAATTATCTGAAGAGACCAGATATAATGGCATTATCCAAATGATGCTGTTGAAAAAATGTACACCTCAATGTGATGACCAACAACTGCACTGCCGTGCAGCTTGGTGAGAAGGTGATCAAATTCAGGACATACATACAAATCGTTTTGGATCCATCCACTCTTAAGTGTCATTGATTAGACAATTCAAAGTGGTAGGTATCTGAACTGGTCCATTGTTGCTGTTGCAGGAGCCATAAACAGAATCAGAATGATCTTGGGAAGGAAAAATATACCAGGTAAGGGATACAACAGCAATAAAAAAGGGATCGATTCACATCTTGACCTATTGTGCCTTATTGCTGCCTGTTCTGATTTGAACATTCAAAAGATTTGGATAGTAAGCAATGGTTGGTTTGTTTGGGGGTTGAGGGTTTGGGATTTTTTTTCTGTATTTATCATAGAGAAACTTGAAGAAGCTCCTATGCTAGCATCTTGAGAGGTGCCTTAGAGGGGCTTTCTCATCTGAAGTGTTTGTAGAGCAGGCGACTCAACAGAGAAACTGAGCAACAGCAGATCTGCAGGGCCAGGGAGCATTTCCACAAGAGTTCTGAAAGGAACACAAAACTGAATTAACCCTGAATTATTCTTGAACTCAGGTATCAACAAGTTGCATCAGTTAAAGTTCTCAGTACAAGAGCACAAGGTAGCTAACTTGATGACATGAGTAAAACAGGTTCCTAAAAATATCTGAAGATGTTATGAACTATTAAATCTGATGCCCATACCAGGCAAATTAGTAGAAATTATTTCAAAGAATAACTTCAGTAGATATCTGGGAGGTAAATGTATAAATTTGCTGTGAATGAGACTCAGTATGTGTGAGTTTTAAAGTTAAATCATGTTTCACAATGCAGTTTTTTAATTCAAGCAGGTAACAAAGGGAAATTGTCTTGATATGGTCTGCCGGGATTTTCAGCAGGTGAGCAGCTAGGGCAGTAAGCACATTGGGAGAGCTGAAAAATGGGAATAAAAATGTGAGTTTCTTGTACTGGAAGCATTAATTAAAAGTGAGGGAAGTAGAGAGGAGAAGCAACCATTAGCTCTGACGGTGGGAGAGGAGCCCCAGGGGAGCCCTCCCTGCCAGGATGGGTAGCGGGAGCTGCGCTTGCGCTGCGTGGCCTTGCGACGAGTGGTCGACGGGGCGGCACGGTCTGCTGAGGGCACTCTGCTGTTCAGCACGGTTAAAGCTGAGGGTTTTGCTGGTCATGAAGAAACACAGAACAGTATTACATCACCGGGTAGTAGCAGGCAAATTTAACATAGACAGACTGCGTGAAAGGCTACACAAGGGAAAAAGCAATCCCTTCCCCGCCAGTCGTTGACAGGCCCCGATGGGCTGCTCGCACAGTCCCGTGAAAATACTAGGTCCGTGGTGGTACGGAACCTGAATAGAAAGTTTAGAAATGAATTGGGGGGGAAAAAAAAAATAATAATAATCAGAGGACAAAGTAATGCAGTGCCGCTCACCGCAGCACAGCCAGGTTTTGAGTAAGAATCCAGCTTATTGAGTCCTTGTACGCTCTCTGGGGCTGGAGGAGGTACCGAGGGGGCAGGCGGGAGGGTAGGAGCCCGCACCCCCGCCTCTGTGAGGGGCGGGGTGGGGGCGCACGGGG